ATGGTTAGCCATCATAATATGCATAAATTACTGTGATGTACAATAAATGTGTATTTATTCTCGCCCTACGTGCATAGTCGAAAGGCTTCTGCAAGCGCCACAACTCCTCAATTGACCGATTACAGGCCGATCTGACAGAACCGTGAAATTGTTCTAAATACAGAGCAGCGAATTCGATGAAAAAGCGCCGCGAGGCGGCGCTGTTCGCGCTTCGCGCGGATATCCGGGCTGCAGATCGTCCAGACGATCGATAACAGCGAGTCGGAAGATTAGAACATGTTCTAATTTCCCTAACTCGGAGCAGGCGAGTTGGACGTTTTTTTGCCAAGTGGTCAATCAGACAACAGCAATCAGGGGTGTGTCCCTCCACCCTAGAAGGAGAGCACGTTTTTGCTTCAGGCGCCATGCTGGCAGCATGTAATACATGCAAAAATGCGTATCCGCGTCGCCCCGCGCGCGCTACGGGTCAATGAAGACAAACGCCAACTTGACTGCACATAATCGTCAGTGTGAACCCAGCACGGTGTATATGTAGCGCTCGCTGTACGTACGTAAGGCCTACTTGTGTACATTTCAATTTATCAGGCCACAAAAGCGATTCTCTCTTGGGCGATCGCTCCCGTTATTGTTCTTACCAGAGCAATTTTAGAGCTTACCAGAGCGAAATCGCTCGTCGCTCCCGTGTATTTTATTCCCTGAACTAGTAGTATTTCTATGGTTTTACGACTCCAGGAGCCCGAACCGGTCACCAACGGACGCGAAATTCCTCTTCCTATCTTTTCCCATCTCCACTATAGCTCTTATCCCGCTTTCTGTTTATATATTCCTCCCTTTCTTTTTCCCTTACTGTCACGCTCTCATTTTTTACTGCACCCTCTTTAACGCTATGCCCCTCTCCCTGTCTCACACAGGCAGTCTCCCCCTCTCCCTGTCTCACACAATCTCCCCCTCTCCCTGTCTCACACAGGCATTCTCCCCCTCTCCCTGTCTCACACAGGCATTATCCCCCTCTCCCTGTCTCACACAGGCATTCTCCCCTCTCCCTGTCTTACACAGGCAGTCGCCCCCTCCCCCTGTCTCACACAGGCAGTCTCCCCCTCTCCCTGTCTCACACAGGCATTCTCCCCCTCTCCCTGTCTCACACAGACAGTCTCCGCCTCTCCCTGTCTCACACAGGCAGTCTCATCCTCTCCCTGTCTCACATAGGCAGTCTCCCCCTCTGCCTGTCTCATACAGGCATTTTCCCCCTCTCCCTGTCTCCCACACAATCTTGCTCGATCTTTCTCCCTCTCCCTCCCTCTCTATCCAACTATCTATCTATATCTACCTAC